ACGACTACTTCATTTTGGTCGGTAATTTGAACATTTAAACATTGATATGTCAAAATTTTTAAAATGTTTTGTCAAAAATAAGTACATTTTTATATTTTTCTTTTACGAAGCAAATCGGATTTTGTTATTATATGTATTTTTCAACAATTTTTTCAAATTTCAATAATTTTTCATTCAATATTTTCAATTCCAAAATCTGTTTGACAGTTCATTGTCCCAGCAGCAGCGTCGATGCGACTAGCTGTATTCTAATGCCATGAGTGGAAGTACTTGTTTTAAGGTACGTTTACATGAACTACTAAAGCTTGATTTTCATACAATAGTGTATTTGACGACGTTTATATACATTTTTTTATTTTCAAATATTTGTATTATTTATATTTAAATTATTAACCAACCACTGTGCAATTTTCATCATACACACATTAAATTGAATTTATATACAAACATATTTGAGATGCATTTAATGCAAAAGAAACTTATATATTTAGTAAAATATAAGCAAACATACTAATATGAAAAACTTTGTACGTACTACTTAGGGTCAGCGGATAAAATTTGATTAAGATTTAGATGGGGTTTTATACATATGATTTGTATACAAATACAAACATATTTTTTTAATAATTTAACGTAATTAAATACTTTTATGGAATATTTAATACAGTGTTCACACAAATCTTTTTTATAACAAATACTTTTAATATAAACAGTAAAAATACGTTTACATACAAAATCCATGGTAGAAGTATAAAGGTGGATACATCAGCGCTTGTAAGCATTGATATGTCAAAAATATTTAAAAAATATGCAAAAATTTTCTTTTACGAAGTTATGATATATGTTTTCCAATAAATTTAACAACATTAGATCGTTTTTCATTAAAAATATTATGTTGCAAAAACGTTTTGACAGTTCATTGTACCGATGACCAGCTGTGGTAACCACCTGTGTTGATCGGCTACATGTATACCATGAAATTTAAATTATCAGTGTTAATCCGAGTATGTAAACGTACTTTCTTGAAAAATAATTAGATTTGTATATATTCTCTTATACGACGCCAATCGGAGGTTGTTATGATATGCGTTCATAACAAATTTTACAAATTTGAAAAATTTTTCATTCAAAAATTACAATTCCAAAATTAGTTTGACAGTTCATTGTCCCATCAGCTGTGTCGATGCGACTATCTGAATTCTTCTACCATGGATTTAATCTTAAGAGAAATGCATGGTAGAAGAATACAGGAAGTCGCTTCGACACACCTGCTGGGACAATGAACTGTCCAACAAATTTTGAACTTGAAAATGTTGAATGAAAAATTATTCAAATTCGTTAAAATGTTGAAAAATGCATATCATAACAACCTCCGATTTGCGTTGTATAAGAAAATATATAAAAATCTACTTATTTTTGAAAAAACGTTTTTAAAATTTTGACATATCACTCATCCGAGGCGTTAATGCATCTACCTAGATTCGACGATGCAAATGGGAGTTTGTTATTAAACGAATTTTTCAATAATTTTTCATTCAACATTTTTAATTTCGCTCATTGTACCAGCAGCTGTTAATGCGACTACCTGTATTCTTCTACCATGACCTATGCTTAATCCATGGCAGAAGAATACAGGTAGATGCATCAACGCTTGGGAGCATTGATATGTCAATAAAATTCAAAAGTTTGTTCAAATATAAGTAGATTTTTATATGTTTTCTTATACTACGTCATTCGAAGGCTATAATAAATCGCGTTTTTCGACAATTTTTACAAATTTAAATAATTTTTCATTCAACATTTTCAATTCCAAAATTGATTTGACAGTTCATTGTCCCAGCAGCTGTGTCGACGCGTCTACCTATATTCTTCTACCATGGCTTAATCTATACGACTGTTTGTCAACATTAAAAATTGCTTTGTGTGAACACTGTCTTACTTTGATGTTACCACACTTCCTTACTTTAATATGATATTAACCGCTAATGTGGAAACCCCAATTGGAATCGGTACTACTCTGTACCAAACTTATAATGGAACATACACGCAGAACAACAACAAACAGGAAATACAAATTCAATTATAAAACAACAACAAAAAAACAACATTTTTATGCCTAAGCAAATGTAATGAAAAACTTATGTATGAAAAGCAAAACAAAAACTGTAACAACAACCAAAAGAAACACTTATATTTATACATATACTTTAAAGAAATATATACATATATATTTAAAAAAAACAATAAATATATTCTATATAGTAGTAGTTATATATAACGGTAAGAAACCATTAAAGCAAAACCAACACGGAATAAAACATTATTAGAAATTATGAGAAACAAAATCAAGCGAATACTGAACTATGAGAAAAAAAGGCCTCAACAATGTTAAAATATAGGAAATAAACTACAAAATGGATAAATAATTGATCAATTTAAACAGAAAACAGAAATTGATTGAAAATAATTGTTTGTTTTTATTAAGAAAAATATCTTTAAATTTTATTAAACGTTTATAATCGCGCTTGTAAAAGCAATTATTTTAAAATAATAAAAAACACATTGTGTATTTTGTGTTTATTAATTTTTGTTTTTCAAATGATAACAGTAAAAAAGAATTGTTGATGAAAATCTTACCTAGCAAAACCATTTAAAATTCCCAACATAATTAAGCGAAAAAATTAAGAAAAAACCATATAAAATTTTGTTGTTGAATATTTATATTTGAAATTTATTATTAATTAATTAACTAAAAGAAAACGATTAAAAATTATGTAACTGTAATTGTGAATGTGTTTAGCGAATTAATTAAACTAAAATATCCACAATAAATGTAAACAAAACCAACAATGAAATGTCAACCAGCAATAACATCTTCATCAACAATACAAAAACAACTACAAAAACCAGTGTTAAAATGCTTATTATATATTTTTTTAATTGTCCCTGCAATTGAACCAAAAACAACTGTGTATTTCTTTTTATTCTAATTTGCAAAGTCCAAAAAACAAAACATCAATTAAAAGAAAATACAAGGAAGTAATAGTGAAATGATACAATGATGTGCAGAAATCAATAAGAAAAATTGAATAAAATAAAAATCATATACATATAAAAATATTAGTAAAAAAACAAAACTTTGTTGCGTATTATTTGTTCGCATTCTGGGGATTTGGTGGTTTAACGATGCCAATAGTATAGTAGTAATAGTATAAAGGTGTGTTTACGTTAGAGCTTTTTCCGGGTTAACCTTGGTTATGAAGATTTATTTGAGGTATATACAATGGAATTGACAATTTAAACCGACTGGGTTTTCTAAACGTATTGTAAAGGTATATTTGCTAGTTGACACCATGGTAAAAAAATTCAGGTAGATGCATATGCGCTTGGGAACACTGAGATGTCAAAATTTTTAAAATATATTTTTTTTTATCAAAACTAAGTAGATTTGGAAATTTTTTCTTATACGACGCCAATAGGTTGTTATAATATGCTTTTTTAACTGTTTTAACGAAATTGAATAATTTTTCATTCAAAATTTTCAATTTCAAAATTGGTTTGACAGTTCATTGTCCCACCAGCTGTTTTTTTTTTTTGTTTGTTTGTTTTAATTTTTTTATTTAAAATTATTATTTTTTGGCAATAATAGGGTTGTAGCGCGTCTATATACAAAATCTTTATCTGGGTTAAACTTGATAATTGGCCAATCACCATGGTAGAAAAATGCTGGTAGATGTATTAAATCTTGGAGACATTGATATGTCAAAAATTTTATTTTGGTTTTTTTTCAAGTATATTTTTATATGTTTTCTTAAACGACGTCAAACGGAGGTTATTATATTATGTGTGTTTTTAAAGACATTTTTACAAGTTTGAATAATTTTATATTCGAAATTTTCAATTCCAAAATTGGTTTGACAGTTCATTGTCCCAGCAGCTGTGTCGATGCGTCTACCTGTATTCTTCTACCATGCCAATCACAATAAAGGTGTAAGTACATAAGAAGTTTGAAGTCATGGCTAGCCAGCCGATTACTTAAGGCAGCCAAATAAGCGCTTTATGTATTCCCACCTTATGTATTTATTCACTTTAGTGACCGCCTGTAAGGAAAATAGTGCATCTTCCAATGTATTATCGTGAGCAAATACAATATTAAGTTATTTTTTGATTTGTGTAAATGCAATACGAAAACAACGTATTGGCATCATGACTTGGCATATTAATGTCAAATTATAAAGGGAAACGATGGCAGAATTCGAGTGCGGCTCTGACAACCCTTTATGATATGTCACACAATGTGCCATGCGAAGAATTCAAGCTGTTTATGAACTCTCACCTTTACCACTTTCAAACGCAAAAACCTAGCGAAGAAGAGCTATGTTTTTATGGTCAATCTGGTTGAATACACCCGACTTAAGCAATTAATCCTGATAATGTAAGTTAACCCGAAACATTTTTTGATTTCTCATTGATGTTTAGGTTAGAACTTTTTTAAGGGTTAACTTGATGCTTTAAGAGGATTTATTTGAAGTATGAGTAATCGATATGACAGTTTTAATCCAAATCCAGTGGGTTAACCCATTTATAAGTAAACGTACTATAACATCGAAAACGAATTTTTTTAATGAGGCTTTTGATCATTTATTTTATAATTTTTTTTTTTTTTTTTGATTTGTTGTATCTGGCAGTTTTCCAAATTTGTTTCTATTTATTTTCAAATAACATATCGAAAATTTGTATATATTTTGAAAGAGTAAGTTCACCAAAAGCAGAAATATGTATATATCTAACATGTTGATTTATTCCCCCTCCTATTATTGTATCATGTACTGTATCATATTATTGGACAAACGAAAAATCGTACTGTACATCAAGAAAAGAAATGTACGAACTGTTATTGAAATAATTGTTGTTCCAAGTTTGAACATTGATAATTAACGCCGTTCTAGAAACAAATAATGGCAATGCAATTTTCCAACTGACGCCGATAGCTATATTTCCAGCATGGCTCGGTTCTTTGTTGCCGTAGACAAATATGACGCATTTGAAGGGGAGATTATAAAAAAATTTTAATAATTCTATGTAAAATAACTAAAATTAGTATCGTTTAGTGAAATATTGTGATTGAACAACAATATTTTGTCGGCCGTCAGATAAATAACGAAGTTTTACGGTAAACCATCAAAGAAATCTGGTACAATTTTGGATTTTGAGTGTGAAAGTGAAAAGGAAGCGAATTGCAAAAAAAAAAACGAATGAAGAGGGAGTAGTAAATTCATACAAAAAAAGCAACAACAACAGAACATCATAACCAACAAACACGAACAGCAGCCAGCCAGCCATCAAGTCAATAATATATCTGTGTGTGTGTACGTCGGTCGGTCGTATTGGACAAAGGTTTTGTGGGAAAGGGCAAGGAGTTGGAGGAATTAAAAGAATCAGCATAGGAACAGCTTCTAAGTGTTGTAATTGTTATCTCTCATTGACATGGATCAAAGTTAAAATTATTGTTTTGGAGGCAGAATTTTACATCATCAAAGTCTTGTCTTCCCCGCGTCTCTCTCATTTCATTGATGTTATCTAAAGTATTTGGCATATCAAAACTAAGACGGAACGATAAAAACTTTTTGCTCCACGCAACATATTACCGGTTGTCTAACGCCCTCAAGCCCTGACCACTGAGAGAATCACCTTCACATTTACAAAGCGAAGAGAAGAGAGGAGAGGAGTACGAGAAGCAACAACAACAAAAGATATGAACAAGTGATTTTCTTATCAATTCCAAAGTCACAAAATAAGGCCCCAAATCAAATCCCAAAATAAGTAACAAGAAAACGAAACGGAAGCATTTGAAACCCACCCGCCCTCGAACAAACTACAAGTCTACATTGTTTACTGGTTGCACATGCGGGAAAGGAATACTGTTGATAAACAAATTCAATGCATTTGTATGCTAATTCGCTTATTAACATTAACTAAAGGCATTTAACGAATATCGCGACGTAGACAAAGATACCGCATACTCATCATTCTTTAGTCTTCCCGATCCTCTTTGGATATTAATAAGCAAAATTTAACATACGATTTGATAGCAGTATTCCAGAGCAGACAGTAATTATTCCAGCCGCTGTGTTAAACGCATAACAGCAAATATTATTTAATAGCCACCCTCCCACCAGCAGCAGCAGTAATCTTACCCGTCTCTTAACACACTCACCAACCACCACCATCATCATCATAATCGTCATTACAAACATGTCTCGTGGTTTTGATCACTTATTCAAACTTTTAATTATCGGCGATAGTGGTAAGTTTTCACTGAATTCTTTGTTTATTTTCGTTTATACTTTTTTGTACATGTATATCATCTGTATGTATTGGCACTGAGATGAGATCTTTACCCAGTTGTCCTAATTTTTGCAAATATATAGCATTGTAAGCAGGGTCACTACAATCTAGGAAGGGGTGTGTTTTAGATGTCAGGTCGTTTGTAACCGTGAACCCTGATCATTATTCGTCAATCCGAACCAAAATTTATAAAAATTTTCAAATATGAATTTAAAAATATTTGCAATCTGCTTTTTAAGCTTCTCTCATAGCAGTTTAGTTTTGTAAATGCCAAATTTTTTCTGAAATATTCCTAGAATGGAAAATATTTTTAATGTATTTATTGTGTTGCAAGAAGCATGAACACTATTCGGTATGGCCAGTTTTAAACTTCTATTTTTCTTTTGTTTTAATATGCCGTTTTGTTTATTTTATTTTTTTCCCATTTTGCCTGCATTCATTTTCATAAGATCCCCGAGCTTCATATGCATGTCATCGTTCCTGTTGTTGCACATTCGTGCCCTCTATGCCGCTGCATGTAGTGCAATGGTGTGACTAATCAGCATACATGCTGCATAGTTCTGTTGCTATTTCTCTACACACTTTAGTCACATTGTTGTTGACCAAAAAAAAAGATAATCTGTTCTTATATGATTCTTTAAATTTTTGTGATTGGCCTTAATAGATTAGATGTGCAAATCATGTGCGTCCTAAGTAAAATGTGCAAAATATGAAAACTAAATTTAAACTTTCTATGAAGATGCGAAGCTTTAGGAATGATCATTTGGAAAACTTTAGTAGCTACTAAGGTAATTTTTTAGGGAACAAGTCAATCAATTATATTTATGTTCTTTTTCTAAAACAGGAATATAACATCAACTCAAAGATAGACAGGTCATAGGTTTGCACTGTGGAAAGAAAGAAATAAATTGAGATTCTGATATTGTCTACAAAGAATAATGAAACACAAACAAATACAAACCAAAACTGACAAGAATCTTGTCATGTTATATCAACGGATTATCTTGCCCACATGTGGGTAAAATATCAATACTAGAACACCACTTTCACAAACACGTCTATGAAATACCCATGTCCAAAATTGAAAATAACTATAAATTTTCCTTCTCATTATTAAATCAAGGTTCTATTTTACTCACTTACGTTATGTAGATATGTCCAGAAGGGCTTCGCGAACCAAAGCTTTTTAAAGTAGCCGGCCTCGGGCCTGAAATTTTCTCCTCTGTGGTATGTCCAACACCGGCTTCGCGAACGAAAACTTATTAAAGTAGACAGACTTCTGCCAGGGCTTGAAATCTTCTCTGATGTATGTCCAACACCGACTCCGCTAACAAAAGTTCACTTAAATTTAATATTTTTTAAATAACCTACAAAATATAAGGAAGTTACTTTTTAATATTTGGAACCCTATATTTCGGGAAGTGTGGACCCACCTCCCGAAAATGTTTTGTTGTTGTAAGCTTTCATTTCGATTACTGGAAAGGAAATGGGAAGAAAAAAGGGGGTACTTTTGGAACTTTAGAACCCTATATCTCGGAAAGTATTGATTTTCCCAAAAAAAAGTTCTGTCGCTGTGATTAGGATAACAAGACCTAAGGGTGCAAGTACATACAAAGCTTGAAGACATGGCTAGGCACATTAATGTCAAATTATAATAGAAAACGATGACAGGATTTTAGTGCGGCTCTGTAATCCCTTTATGAAATGTCACAAAATATGCCAAGCCATGACTTCAAGCTTCTTATTCTACTTGCACCTTAAAAGTTTCAGAATTTTCCTCCAGCTGGATCTAAACTCTTTTTAGTACTAAATACACACGATTTGTTGAGTTGGACAAAATTTTTAATCAAAACTTCATACATCGTACTTAGTTTTCAGACTCAAGGTTTTATATATTATTCAAGTTTCTTTATTTCGAATAGAATAATAGGAAAATGTTTACCTTTCACAACAAAATTTGAAGTTTATCGATGAGAAACCATTATACGTCTCCATATGTAAACACTAAAAACAAGCAGTGACCTTCAAATCAAATTCAATTCAATTTAGTACTTTTCGTACAATTATAGTACACATTTCCGAAACCACCCTAATGTAAAATTTCAGATTTTGAGCACTATGTATTCACCCAATACCAAATATAGTACTTTTCGTGCATTTAAGTACAAATTGTGTTATTGAAGCCGGGCTGAAGTAGCTATCATAGTTTTTGTGCAATTCAGCAAATTCCATGCAGTTTCCCTTCTGCAAACATCTCTCTGGTTATTCGTCTTCGTCGGGATATTGTGTCATTTTCCTCTTAAATTAATTTAGGAGAATTATTTTATTTCTATTTCTGCTGAAAATACTTTGATTTAACAAAAAAAAAAAGTAGAAATCATTAAAAATATAAAAACTATTTGCTAATTAAACCCTTGTGTACCAACACAAAATGTAAGTGGTTTGTGCCTTTGCTACCTCTTACCTCTATATTACCAAACTACCACCAATAGGAATCCCAATACAAACACATTTCAGCTTCATCCGTTCACTCTAAACAATGTTGTTTCAAATTTAGTACCATTTAGTGCAGTTCGCACACTTAAAGTTTGTGTCGTTCTAGTTCGATAATCGGAATTTACGAACTATATATGTGCGACACATATTTTTATTCTTGTAGAATATGCCATCAATTTGAGATTTTTTTGTTAGAAAAGAAGTGTTTGCTCCCCAACATTAATCGTCGGTTGAGAGAGAATGTACTGCACCTCTCGAAATAATGGCCGTTGTAGCTTTATATTGACATATATTGAGATAAAAAACTGCAACAAAGTCAAACGCCATAATTTTCACTTGTTTTTAAACTTTATTGAATGAAAGCAAAAAAATGTGGGAAATAGCATCAAATGTTAGAATAAGTTTAGATTCGAATTGGTACGATGTATGGCCTTCACACGGCCAATGAAACCGTCACACGCTGCCCGAATGTTGCTCTGCGGTATTTTGGTCCATTCCCGGCAAATGGTCCATTGATCGACACTTTAATATTTTTTAGTGCCAATATTGCTTTCCAAAATACTCCAGACATAATAGTCTAACGGATTGGTAGCCGGAGATTTTTGTGGCCATTGTACGCTGGAAATGAAGCGAGGAACCTCATTTTGTAACAATTCTTGAGTGGCACGTGCTGAGTCCTGTTGCAATGTCCAAGGTCTGCGGCCAAAATGTTCGCGTGCCCAAGGCTTAAATACACCCTCTAGAATATTGTCGCGATAATATTCCGCATTTATTCTGAAGCCACGGTCGATTAATACGAGCGGAGAGCGACAATCGGTTGTTATGGCGGCCCACACCATCACTATTGCCGGCCCTTGAGTTCTGGTGGCCAACCGAAGGTGCACATTTTCTGCTGACCTCTATTGCCGAATGGAATATTGCGATATGTTCAGCTCAGGAGCCATTTTTCCGCCACTGCGACGCGTGTTTCGATCAAGTCGCTTCTTTACTTTTCGAACAATTTCTGCTGATGTTGCTGTTTTCTTCCGCCCAGTTCCTTGACGTCGGGATACGCTACCAGTATGACGGTAACGAGCGATGGTACGAGACACAGAAGATTTATTCACATATAAATGCTGGAGTGCTCTAACGATAGCCACTTGTGGTTTTCCAACCATCACGAATAACTTTTTTTTCTGAAAAATTCTCACAGACAGTAGTCTGAATTTGGTTGCAGTTTTTTCATCTCACCCTGTATATGTGAAATTCATTACGAATAAGACTATAAAGGGTTAAGTTTCTAAGTTCAGTTGTGATGCTTTAACGGACAAGATAAGGCAGTCAGTTGGTTGGACACAAACATTTTTTTATAGATAACAGCTTTTGAAAAGAATAATAACTCAAATTTTTAAAAACTTTCAATAACAATCAAACTGAACAATAACAACAATTTAATAGTTTAAAAAAATTGCCCACGTAAAGTTTAAACAAATTGTATCTTTTTATTATTTTTCTCCCACAGGTGTTGGTAAATCTTCACTACTGATCCGATTTTCCGATGACACATTTTCGGGAAGCTATATAACAACAATCGGTGTGGACTTTAAGATACGCACAGTGGTGATCGATGGCAAACGTGTTAAATTGCAAATTTGGGACACAGCCGGCCAAGAGAGATTTCGAACAATTACAAGCACCTACTATCGTGGAACGCATGGCGTTATTGTTGTATACGATGTAACAAATGGTGAATCATTTGCGAATGTACGCCGATGGTTGGATGAAATTCAAAATAATTGTGATGTTGTAAACAAAGTATTAGGTATGTTAAAAGCGTTTCCAATTGAGATAATTGAATGCTTATTATTTTTGTGATTTTTTTCCTAGTTGGCAATAAAAACGACGATCCCGAACGAAAAGTTGTCATTACCGAAGATGCGCAACGTTTTGCACAACAAATGGATATTGAACTATTCGAAACATCCGCCAAAGAAAATATCAAAGTTGAGGAAATGTTCCTTTCAATAACGAGACAAGTCCTTCAGCACAAGTTGCGCACCGCACAAAATGAACAGCAAAAAGATACCATCAATTTAAAGAAATCCAATAAACCCAAAAAGACTAGATGTTGTAGTTGAAAACGGAAGACAATTGTATTTTCACGTAGACCACCACAACCACCACTACCGCCGTTGCCGTTGTCGCTTTCATTCTATTTTCCATCATTAACATGTTCATCTTTCCAAGAGATGCAGCAAAAACAATGCGAACAAACATAATTGGGAATAAATTAAACTAAGAAAGAATGTAAAAAGGATTATTTTGTATAAAAAATATGATAACTTTTATAAGACAGAAAAACACACAAAACAAAACGAAATCGTAATAATAACGTAACGTAGGAACACCTCAAAACTCCCAACTGGTGCATGTAATAATCGAATATACATATGTATTTAGAGTTTAGAACAGAGCCCGTTTTTTAAATTGATATTAAAATGCGCATTCAATGTCGTGAAAAATAAAAGGGTTTCTTTGCAGTCATAGCTGGAACTGGATTGGATTGAAAGACATATTTGTTTTTCATTTAAATTTGGCCATTGGTCAAAATGTATGTTAGATTTGTTTCATTTTCTTTTTTCCACAGTTATTTTGTTTATAACTCTTCTGTTGAAATGTGTTTTTTTTTTTTCATTTCCTTCACCACGTTCTGTCTGTCTTCAGCATTTTTAAATGGCGTTCAATTGATTGAAACTCCTTTGAATTGCATTTCCAAGTGCTGAAATGTTAGCCTATACCACTTCTCTTATTATTTTCCCCGCCCTTGGTTTCATCTACCCAATGTAATAATGTAAGTGAAACATCGTCTTACCAACAATTATGTCTCTGTCATAATATAAAACGGAAGAACAACCAACAAAAACACTCCCACACTATTATTTTTAATATATATATTATTTAGATTGAATCATAAATTAGCAATTATATTAAATGGCTAAACTATATAAATTTTATTTCAAACTCTATTCAACTCTATATTATATAAAAGCCTATTTATATGATCTGATCGATTTATAAACAAATGATAAATGCCCCACATATAATTATAAAAAGGAAAATAAAGTATAAAAATTTTAAACTATTTTATTACATTTTATTTCACTCTAAAATCTCAGTTTGTATGTTACACAATTGTCTGACACTATCTCAAAACATCGTATCATTCTTTGGAAAACCCTTAGCAATTTCCATGAATCCTTGAACAAATGGGGCATGGTGTGCCGGCCAGTAGCTTTTCTTATATCTTAAAGAATCGTATCATTCTTTGAAAAACCTTAACAATTTCCATTTATCCTTGAACAAATGGTGCTTGCTGTACCGGCCGGTTCCTTCTGCTTGATAAATGTTCTACACATTATCATTAATCTGTGGTCAATACGAATTGAGGTGGTGAGAATGTAGTAGATTTGTTTATGCAGTGGAAATTCTTCAAATGCAATGGGCAAAGACCTAAAATGGTAAAGACTAGACAAAATGCATTTTGAGCAAATGGTTTGTGTCTATACTATCTAGACAACAGCTCATGACAGGACCATGTTAATATAAAAAACCCATTTATAGAAAAATAAGACAAACAAAAATTTGAAAAATCCAAAAATTGGGTTTCAAAATTTTACTCCATAGACTTTCCCAGTTAATTGCATATTGCCTAAGCGGTTTTAATCGCTTAACATTGCTAACTATGTTGTTACGATATCATAACAACAGAGGTATTTTCACAGGGTTGCCATATCTTGACTCTATCTTGTCCCATCTTTACACTTCTATGTCTTTGCAATGGGTTGACCTCGGGAACGGCATTCATAACGTATAAATTTATGTCTTCTTTCCATCCGTAAATTATGTTTATTAGGTTTTAACTAACTTAGTTAGGAAATCGTTTGAGGAAATTCGCGCTATAAAAGTATTAAAACATGCCAATTGGAAATGATCTTAAGATAGGAAATATGGCAACCCTGTGAAAAATACCTCTGTTGTTATGATATCGTAACAACATAGTTACCAATGTTAAGCAATTTAAACGCTAAGGCAGTATGCAATTGTTTGGGAAGATATATGGAATAGAATTTTGAAACTAATATTTTGGCTTATCCAAACTTTTATTTGTCATTCTTTCCTATAATTGTGTTTTTTATATTAACATGCCTTTGTCATGAACTGTTATTCAAGGTAGTATAGCCACAAACCATTTGCTCTGAATGCATTTTATCTAGTCTTTGATTAATAGATCGACTCGATAGAGATACAGGGTGAGATGAAAAAAACTGCAACCGACTTCAGACTGCTGTCATTTCACTCGTCCGACAGCTGTTAAAATTATTCCAGTGACAGCTAATTGTATTGTTTACAAGCGTACAAAAGCATTTTTGAGAATTTTCCAGAAAAAAGTTATTCGCGATGAAATTCAAGCGTGATAGTGCAATTTATTTATATTTGGCTGGAAAACCACAAGCAGCTATGTTAGAGCACTCCAGCATTTAAATGTGAATAAATCTTTTTTGTCTCGACGTCAAGAAAGTGGACGGAAGAAAGCATCAACATAAGCAGAAATGGTTCGAAAAGTAATGAAGCGACTTGATCAAAACCCGCGTCGCAGTGGCCGAAAAATGGCTTGTGAGCTGAACATATCGTAATATTTCATTCGGCAAATATTGAAAAATGTGCCGTGATAAAGCCATTGAAATTCGAAAAAGTGCAATAACTTCCAACGCAACAGAAAGAAAATAGACTCTAAAGAGCTAAAGAGTTGCTTCGCTTGGCCAAAAGTGGTGAACTGCCGAATTTGGTTTTCTCCGATGAGAAAACATTCGTTGTCCAGCAGTTTGTAAACAAAACAAAATGATCGTGTTTAGTTGCCAAAGAGGTCAGCTGAAAATGTGCACCTTCGGTTGGCCACCAGAACTCAAGCGCCGGTCATGGAGATGTTGTGGGCCGCCCTAACAGCCGATGGTCGCTCTCCACTCATATTATCGTATCTACCGCGGCATCAGAATAAAAGCCGAATATTATCGCGAAAATATTCTGGAAGGTGTATTAAAGCCTTGGTTACGCAAACATTTTGTCCCCAGACCTTGGACATTCCAACAGCACTCAGCACCATCGCATTCAGCACGCGCCACCCAAGAATGGTTACAAAATGAGGTTCCTCGCTTCATTTCCAGCGCACAATGGCCGGATACCAATCCGTGGGACTATTGTGACTGGAGTATTTTGGAAAGCAAGGTTGGCACTAAAAAACTACCAAAGTGTCGATCACTTCAAGTAAGCGCTTCGCCGGGAATGGGCCTAAATACCGCAGAGCAATATTCGGGCAGCGTGTGACGGTTTCATTGGCCGTTTGAAGGCCATAATTCGTGCCAAAGGTGACCAATTCGAACAAATCTAAACTTATTCTAAAATTTGATGCTATTTCCGACATATTTTGCTTTCATTCAATAAAATTTAAAAAAATGTAAAAATTATAAAGTTTGACTTTGGTGCATTTTTTACCTCACCCTGTACTTGCTTCTACTGAATTCGGTCGGATGTGCCAGAATTCAGGACTTTTGGACAGATATTGGCAGATTGGCAATTAAACCGAAGTCGGTTGAAGATATACATATATGGGAGCTATATCCAAATCTGATACGATCTTGATACAATTTGGCAGAGGTATTTCCGAACTCTATAAGCTATCTCGGGCCAAATATCATTGTTGTCGAATTCACATTGCGAATGTGAGGGACTTAAACACCAAATCGGATGAAACCATATATAATGGGAGCTATAGCTATATCTTTACCGATTTTCTTCAAATTTGATGTACTTGCTTCTAGACTGAATTCGGTCGGATGTTCCAAAATTCAAGCTGTTTGCATTGATAATGGCCATTTGGTGCACAATTAATCCGAAATCGGTTGCAGATATATATGGGAGCTATATCCAAATATGAATCGATCTCGATAAAATGTTGCAGAGGTATTTCTGGTCTGTATCTGATATCCAAATAACATTTTAGTCGAATGTATATTTAAGTTCCTCCAACACCAAATCGGATGAAACATATGTATGGGAGCTATAGCTGTATCTGATCCGATTTTCATCAAAATTAATGTATGTAGTCGGTCGGAAATACAAAAATTCAGGTCATTTGGATTGATATTGGCTATTTGAAGAATAATTAACCCTAAATTGGTTAAAGATATATATGGGAGCTATATCCAATTCTGATCCGATCTTGATACACTTATTTCAGAGCTGTATCTGATATCTGGTACGAAAGATCATTGTTGTGGAATGCATATTACGCTTGTGAGGGACTTTAAATCCCAAATCGGATAATACATATATATGGGAGCTGTAGCTATATCTGAACTGATTTACACCAAATTTGAAGTGTTCAAGAGTCCGCGCTGTGCAAATCGAAATCAAATTGAAAAACATGGGTGTTCCAGCTGGTGATGTTGAAAAGGGCAAGAAACTCTTCGTCCAACGTTGTGCTCAATGCCACACTGTCGAAGCTGGCGGTAAACACAAAGTAGGCCCTAATTTGCATGGTTTGTTCGGCCGCAAGACTGGTCAAGCCGCTGGATTCGCCTACACAGATGCCAACAAATCCAAGGGCATCGCCTGGAATGAAGATACCTTGTTCAAATACTTGGAAAACCCCAAGAAATACATCCCAGGCACAAAGATGATATTTGCTGGTTTGAAGAAGCCTGGAGATTGCGCTGACCTCATTGCCTACCTGAAATCCGCTACCGCTTAATTTCCATCCCGTTTCATCGCCACAAATTATAATTTATGTAACACAACCTAAATCAATTCTTTATGTTAATACCTAAATTTTAAATAAACATTACTTTAGTTAATGTAAAAAAAAGAAGGATGAATTCAGTCGTAATTCCCAAAATTCAGTCCATTTGGGCTGATATTAGCCATTTGGTGCACAATAAACCTGATATCGGATAAAGGTATATATGGGAGCTATAGCTATATCTGAACCGATTTTCTTCAAACTTGATGTACTTGAGATGCACCAAAATTCAGGTCATTTGGAGAGATATTGGAACTATGGATCTATCTCGCTTCCTTCTCCCTGTTACAAACAAATGCACAAAGACATAATACCCTTACCACTTACCGTGTGGTGTAGGGTATAAAAACGAATTCCAAAAGATATTAAAATGCCAGTTAATGATCTTATTAAAGGATTGTTTTTATTATTTATATTTTAAGACAATAAACTGTTTGTTGTTATTCAATACCATATGTAAGACACTGCTATTTATTACTTAACAAATTGTTATTTCTAATTCATCTTGTTGTATGAGGGCCAACAACCACGATATGATTTTGAATTTCCCAAAGAAGATGCTTGTTTCAAATGAAATTTAAAGAAAAGCTTTTTAATTATTTTTGTTGGTCTGTTTCAGAATTTTAAGAGTACAAAATTTTTACTACGATAACCTATTTTACTTTTACGATATCGAAAAAATATAACATTCTTGCAGGTTCTGGAACAGCCCTATTTTAAATTTTCAAGAATTTTAATTTTGCTTTGTAGTGATGCAAAAGCAGAAATATCCAAAAGAAAACTTGCCACATACATGGTTGCTGGTACATGTTAAATTTCCATGGTAGTTTTGCTATTTTATCTTAAAGGTTACTTATTGCAAAGCATTGGTGATCTATGCTGTTAATTTTTTTTTTTTGTGTTGTTTCTAAACTTATTTATTTATTTGTTTGTTTTTTTTTTTTTTGCAGATAATCTCGGTTAATTCTTGTTTGCTGTTGTGTCAAATACTTTGTTGTTTAACCTTGCATAAGAATGGACTAAAACTATAAAAAAATATTATTGTTTCGTTTAAGTTATTAGTTAAGTAGATTGGTGTATGTGTCTATATATTTGCATTAAAAATATTACGTTTAATTCTAGTTTTTGTTTGATGTTCGGTGATGTGTGGAATGTTTGGATTTTATGCTTAGTTCGAAAAGGAGATACATGATTAGTTTTATAAAATCTGATTTTTAAATGGGAAAATAAAATACTTAAACATTTATCGCTACATACAAATAATAATCTCTAGATATATAGTGGTGGATGCTGATAAATTAAAAAATAATGCATTATTTTGTAATTATATACAATATATATTTTAATTTTAAATTATATTCATTATAACTTATTAAGCTGCTGCATTATATATAGGTAAAAGCAATGAAATCATACATCATTTTTCTTTAATACTGAGTTAGGAGGAAAAGTAATAAAATAAATATATCAGAAAAAAGTGATTAATTAAATATTAAACTATTGACAAATTGAAGCCATTTTCGTACAAAAAAATAACTTTTTCGATTTTTGCAGGGACTTGTTGTTGGAATTTTTGTCGCACATACCACTGAAATCAATAATAAAGCAATGGAAACTATGAAAAGGAATAATGGAAAATATTTACTAAGGCGCTGACAAATAGCATTTCTTTTTGTAAGCCGGGGTTTTGTGGAAATATAGGCGACAAAATAGTTTGAATTTCATAGAAGTATATAATAGTTTTATGTTAAACAAAAATTCTTGAAAATGAGTCGAAAAATAGTTCGCGAGCTAAACAATTATTTTGTTTATACGATTAAAATAAAAGTTAAATTATTTAAAGTTACAATATTTTGAGATTTTAAAAATAGAAAAGACAAGAGGGAATACAAAACATATTAAAATAACGTACTGCTTTTTAAATGTTTGTCCAACTGTGTTAAACCGCAAATCTTGTTAATTGTATCAATATCATAATTTATCTGTATATATATGTTTCACCTTTGTCGCGCAAAGTTCAACTTGCATTACTTTTCGAAATAAATAAAATTGCTTTAAGTACATTACTCCGGACGATTGTGCCGCCTCCTGTGTAAATATAAACCAGCCGCTTGGGCAAATGCAGAGCCACATACTTTGCAAACATATTTCTTGACGGCATCGTGTATTTGTTTGTGATTTTGTAGATTTTTCATAGATCTAAAAGATTTGCCGCATACATCGCAGGGGTATACCTCATCGCTGTAATGTAATTTGGCATGTTCGTTCAATTTAGAACGTGTCGTAAATTCTCTTGTACACATCGGATAAGTGCATTTATGTTTTTTTGGTGATTTAATTGAATCTTCAGATGTCGAGTGATAAGGCGAATTATCACCGGTTATAACCTCATCATTGCTGTCTGCTGGCGTAATGAGATTCAAATCCGGTAGAAGCAATTCATCATTGTGCCTTCGCATGTGTTCGTCGTAGTTACTTTTTTCCCGGAAACTAGCTGTACACAGGTCACAGTGATATTTTACCTCCTTGAGTTGTGGATGCTGTTGTTTGTGTCGATTCAATTGTTCCAGATCAGTGAAACATAACTGACAAATAGGACAGTAGTAATTTGAAACACCATTAAAACCACCACTCTGATTGGCCGCGCCAGACGAATTCATATTTTGAGATTCAGCTTTGTGCTGATGTGATAGTAGATGAGTGTCTAATTCTCGCGGTGAATTGAGAATCAAAGGACAATGATCGCACTTGAACGGCGCAATGTCACCGTCCATGAAAGACATAGTTTCGTAATAGGTATAATTTGGTGTAAACGATCTCCCAGCCATGTCACACATAATTCTTTCTTGTTTCTGTTTTGAATAATCGAATCTCAATTGTGATATACGTTTTGATATCTGTATTGAGGTCACTTCAATGAATGGTGCCAGATCTTTTACCATTCTTTGCAATGCTTCGCCCCGCTTCTCTTTGCTGCGATAATCAATGTGATACTTGTCATAGAAACAGGGATAATTTTTTAAAAGTTCTATCAATTTGTTTGTTGATATGTCATTCCATAGAGCCGAAAATCGTCTACGGTAGATGGTTTCCTTTATAATGGCATCGGACATCTTTTGATTGCCACCATACATTCGATTAAGAAAGAATAATTCTTTAAAATACCACAAAGTACTGACATTAGTTCTCTCCAAAGCCATACGATTACATTCACGCTTGTATACAGTGCGCAAATTATCCCATTTTCGCGTTACAGCATCTTTAGCCAGTACCAAATTAAAACGTCTCTTGAATTCTGCATTGATCCACTCAAGAAATTGTCCGCGCTTAACACGATCTCGAAACTGTGGATGATGATGATCCCAGAGAAAGTTATTTCTGCGATAGGCCTCGATTAGAAATTGTATCATTCTGCGATCTTTTATGTGGTTGGTAACGCCTGGACCAGCAGAGCTCTGGGGCATGAAAATAAAGAGAATGTAATATTTAATGACTTTACAAAATATTAAAAATTGTCATTTTCAACTTAAAATATGATTATCCACCTAATTCAATATGTTTACTATTCCTCCCTTCACCATTCTATTTCAATATAAAAATATAAGAAAAAGAATAGAAGGACGTCTTAGAAACTGACAAATTAAAAATTATGCTCCATTATCAATTGCCTCTGTTAACAAAGGAAAATGTAGGCCTTTGACTACCGTATAAATGGCAGTCATCTTTTAAAATACGGCTATTAATACTTAGAATACGATTACATACGCATACTGACGCCAAATCAAACTTACATCTAACAAGGATTCTTCTACCATATCATCATAGTTTACATCGTCACCACCCTCTTCTCCATCTTCATAATCCTCATTGTAACCGGGAAAAGAATCACTCATATAACTAGTATCAGCCATATAACTTGAATCCCCTCCTCCCATACTAAGATCGGGATCAATTTGCTCCTTTTTAACGCCACCATAGTAGCCATCAGCATAGTCATCATCATTATTAAACAATGGCTCATTGTCAATTCGTGCCTCCTGTAAAAACAACGCATTAGTTGGGCTAATGAATATTAATCTTTACACTAAACGTACATCATCGTCATTATCTCCCAAGTCATACTTTTCTTCCTTTATCATAACCACCGGAGGTTCAAGAATTGGCGGATGGTCATCCGTCAAGTCTTCATTCTCATCTTCATCATGGCGACGTTTTCGTGGTCTACCTTCACTGTTGCATGATGTGTCGTGTTTTGTCTGAATATGTTCTATAAAGGCATCAAAGTAAAGAAACCTCTCTTGACACGATGTACACTCTAGGGCAAAGTATTGTTGATCTTCCGTGGATGTAATTATTCCGCATTGTTTTGTGCATCGGCGTAATATTTCCTCATCATTTGTGGGTGGATATGCGAGTACACTCATAATTTGTTGTACACTTTATAGTTGGGAAAAAATTTCACAAGAGGAAAATCTCGCTATATATAAAGATAATAGAGATTTTCCTGTGTATATATATACGATTTGGTTTATGTGTTTTTCTCTAATTACAGTATATTTTATTTGTATTTCTTCCTTGATTCCTTTCGATTAGGGATACGCAAACCGACTTTTAGTGGCAAACATTGTCGTCGAAGCTGACACATTATAGTTGACGGCGTTGGCGACTCTTTGGCTTGGTCCCATGTTGTTACTGTTGCCGGCGCCACAGTTTCAGTAAACAAATATATCACATTGAAAGGGTAGCTGTTAACTTATGCATATTTTCAATATTACGGGCCGGAAGGCATAAGAAAATATATATTTTATTTTTCTGTGTCATATTTCAGGATATCGTGTGAGTCTTATATCACATATGTAAACATGTTATAAATGAATGAAGATAATTTGGTCTGATGCAGAACTGCAAAAATGTAAGATTTTATTACGGAAACCGATTAGCCTTTAATGATATCGAATGCAAAATTAGAAGATTCTTGCAGGTTCTAGAACAGAGCATTTGTATACGATTTTGATTGCGACATAGTACATGTTATAATATGTTTACATTAGGAATTTTTCTGTGTTTACCTCCCTTTATGAGAATTTGTTGATAGTATATGCAATGGAATTGGCTATTATATTTACCATATCCGGTAAACTGTAACGTAAATTTTAAAACGAGGATGTCAATTCAAGATTTTCACTCTTTCTGAAGTATTTTTTATTTTTATACTTTGAAATCTCGCAATTTTTTTATTATTTTTTGAGTTTCCATAATAAAGGGAACATAGTTGCGATCAAGACCCATGGAAACGGAGTATAAAAGTCAAAGGCCGTACACATAACAATTCCAGTGGATTTCAACTATCAATTTCATTACGTATATGACACAATAAAAAGAGTCGTTTAGTTTAACGTGTACGCTATAGAACTGGCAGTTGAACTCCTAACGATTTAGTAAGTTGCTCTGTTCCAGTACGTGCAAGAATCTACTAGTTCTGAAATTTTCTTCGGTATCAGAATGGGAAAATCGGTTATCGTAGTAAAAACAAAATTTACATTACAGGCACAGACCAAGTGTAGACGTACTTTTAAACGAAATATCTAAACGTGATTTTACTGAAAGTAATTTGCACGGTAGGACAATACAGGTATGCATCAACGCTTGGGAACATTGATATGTCAAAAAATGTTAAATGTTTTTTTTTTTTTCAAATATGAGTAGATCTTTATATGTTTTCTTATACAACGTCTTTCGTAGGTTATTATAATTCCCATTCTTCAACAATTTTTCAAATTTAAATAATTTTTCAGTCAACATTTTCAAGTCCAAAGTTTGTTTGACAGTTAATTGTCCCAGCAGCTGTGTCGATGGGTCTACCTATATTCTTCTTCCATGGTAGATTGCCTGTACGTTTACAGTTTACTGAAGCTGGAATTTGTTCTATGAGAATATGTTTTTTTTTTTAATTTTCATTTGACATTTCTTTCCTTTATAAAAGTTTTAATTTCACATTTTCATAGAACAAGAATTGAGGCCCTGGATTTAATAAGTCTTAAAAAGGAGGTTAACCCTATAGAAAAACTATAATGTAAACATACTATTAGTATGATATTAAAATGTTTTGAATTATTTTCTTTTTCTCATTTAACCCAGAAAAATAAAAAAGCCCGCAATTTCTATTTTATGTCAATTCCTTTGCATTAAAATTTTGTTCTACATGTATCGTTCATGATATTTTTTTTTATAAAGATCACTTCAAGTTCAACTTACATTACTTTGTTCTTAAATAATTTCGTTTTTTGATGTATTACATCTGGCGATTATGCCGCCTTTTGTGTAGATATAGACCTGCAGCCTGGGCAAATGCGGATCCACATATCTTGCATACATATTTCTTAATCGCACTATGTATTTGTTTGTGATTTTGTAGATTTTTAGAAGTTCTAAATACTTTTCCGCAAACATCGCAACCGAATTGTTCGTCGCTGCAGTGAGTTTTCGAATGAACCATCATATTCGAACGTGTCGTAAATTCTCTATGACATCCGGCATAGTTGCATTTGTATTTGGGTGATGAAGAGTGGGAATCGTCTGCCGGAGAGAAATATGGTGAATTTTCACCTGTTATTATTTCAGCATTGTTGTCTATTGGTGGAAGGAGATTCAAATCAGGTAAAAGTAACTCATCATTATGCCTTCGTATGTGTTCATCGTAGATGGTTTTATCGCGAAAACTAGCTGTGCATAGATCACACTGATATCGCACTTCCCTGAATTGTGGATGGATTTGTTTGTGGCGATTAAGCTGCTCCAAATCATTGAAACATAATTCACAAACGGGACAAAAGTAATTCGAACCACCATTAAAATCGTTAATACTATTACCGCTCGGATTTATGCTGCTCGACGAAGATATATTCGAAAACTGAGAATTTTGCTGCTTGTGAGACATCATGTGGGCATCTAGTTCTTGTGTTGATCTTAAAACCGAGACACAAAGGTCACACTTAAACGGAGCAATATCACTGTCCATGAATAACAGCTGATCATAATAGCTATAGTTGGGTGTGAATATCTTGCCGGTTATTTCACACCTAATTCTTTCCTGCTTTTGTTTTGCATAATCGTATCTCAATTGGGCAATTCGTTTTGATATCTGTATGGGTGTCACCTCGATGATGGGTGCAAGTTCATTGGCCATTTGTTGAAATGCCTCAGCTTTCTTTTCTTTGTTGCCATAGTCAGCATGGTTTCTGTCATAAAAACAGGCGTATACTCTTAAAAGTTCTATCAATTTATTTGTGGATACATCATTCCATATGGCAAACATACGCTTTCGAGAGGCGGCCCCTTGAACAACAGTCTCCATATTTTCCTGTTTACCACCATATAAATGGTTTAAAAAGTATAATTCCTTGAAATACCACAAAGTACTGATGTTGGTATTTTCCAAAGCCATTCGCGTACATTCACGTTTATAGACAGTGCGCAAATTTTCCCATTTGCGTGTTATTGCATCTCTGGCTAATGTTAAATTATAACGTCTCTTAAATTCGTCATGCATCCATTTGAGAAATTGGTTGCGTTTAATACGATCTCGAAATTGCGGATGATCAGGATTCCAAAGAAAGGAGTTGCGTCGAAAGGCCTCAATAAGAAATACAATCATTTTACGATCTTTTATGTGGTTGGTTACACCCGGAATCGGGGAACTCTGTGTGGTGGGAAAAAAAGACTTCATTATATAAAGTTATAGTATCGATATAAGGTATAGGAGTTTCAAACTTTTTCAATTCGAAATCTAATATTTTGAAATTAATCTAATCATCCAGCAAACTCAAAAGTCGTTCGAACTGCGCAAGTGGAAAATTGCTACAGATTCCAAAATCTCTAGAAACTTTATAACAAATTGGATATGCTTTTATTTTTTATTGAATTGAATGCAAAAATCATTATCGCAAAGAAATTGTTTACCAAAATTGTAAACTAATACATTCTTCCATTAAAAGATCAACATAAAGAACAATTACACTTAAATTATAAATAAAAAGTAAAATTATGCCTCTTCCACTTCTAGTTTCCTTTTTTTGCACTTATTCAGTCTATCTTTGGCTGAATTAAAAAATCTACGTACATTTGCCTCCACCGTCGAATATGTGGTTTGCGGAATACATTCTACAGCTACATCTGTTCGAAGATTTCATATAAATTATATGGTGTCCATGTAAAATACCTAATATAAACGAATACCTTTGAGAATTTGTATTGAATTAAAATCTTTCACTGCAATATTAGACTTTAGGCTGGACCAAGAAAATTTAGAGCAAAGATTATCATCCTGAAATATAATTTTCAGATTATTGTGTACAAATTTCCTAATATCGTCCTGTGGTTCTCTTTTGAATCGAGATATCTGAAATTTAAAATGTTCAGAGTTAAATTCGAATTTAAGTCGCGAAATTTTACGTACCAAGCCTAATTTTTTCGTCTCATCTTTCAATTCGTTATCATAGTTTAGTACATCATCAACGGTCTTAAATATTAACGGTTGAATATTTGTATTTGAATAAGTTGTACGTTTAACATCCGCCATGGATTCTGTTAATGTATTTCTCAAAGCTACGAATTCCTGATTTCTTCTTTCATTTTGTTCAATGATAGTCTTATTTTGTTTCACAACGGTGACAAGTAATCTTTGAATATCTGTTAGGACAAATAAAGATATGGTTCAATATAATTTTGTAAAGCGTGACCCAGTAAAACTATCTAAATACTTTAATCTATTAGTAAGTGAACAGAACTATTTGATTGAGGATATACTCATACTTACTAGCTACGGCCATCTTGTCCGCACTAATATCAATCATTTGTGTGACATTATCAACTATCGAGAAAATAAGATATATAAATACGTATACAAATTACGGAGTTTCGCTAACGTTTTACCTTTAGATTCTAGGGTCCTTTTCTTTACATCCTGTTTTAAAACAAATTCAAAAAAAGACAAACTTTTTAAACTGTTATTTAGAATATCTCCAGAGATGGGTTAAACCTGTTTTTGTGCGAAATCAATGTTTAGATATTGTTTTTTAATTACTATTTTAAAAAGGCAGAAATAACGCACATCTTTTTGACTTCTACAAGACTTTTTGTTTGCTGAAGTATTTATTACATAGTTTTATACTTTGCTTTGTGTACTTCCTCGAATTTACGTTCTTAAAACCGTATTTGTCAAATATAGGCCGTACTTACATTTAATAGGGACTCTTCAACCATGTCATCATAATTAGTATCATCGCCACCGGTTTCTCCATCATCTTCATAATCATCATTATAGCTGGCATTAGATTCGGCCGCATAACTGGTATCTGCCATATAACTTGAATCCTCAGCCGTCATACTGAGATTTGTGTCATTTTGTCCCCCATAATATCCATCAAAATCGTTGTTCACCAAGGGTTCATTTTTAATACATGCAGCCTGTAATAAATATTCTTAATATCCTCTCTGTAAATAGTGAACGATCAAAATATACTCACATCGTCAGGATTGTCCTCGTCCAAATAGCACTTTTCTTCCTTGATCACGACAGACGAAGTCTCTGGCATTGGCGGATGGCCGCCTGTCAAGCTTTCATTTACTTCTCCATCATCGTGACGACGTTTATTTGGCCTCACTTCATTGCTAGTTGGACGCGATGCATGTTTCCTTCTTATATGTTCAATGAAAGCATTTAAATAAAGAAATCTCTCTGTACACAACACACATTCCAAAGCGAAATATTGTTGATCTTCCGTCGACATAACAATTCCACATTGTTTGGTGCAGCGACGAAATTCTTCATTTGTTGTTGGTGGATATGCTAGCACACTCATGGTTATTTTGTGTTTTCTACAGCGTGGAAGGGTTTCGCAAATGGAAAATTTCCGTGTTCTCTATATAAGCATACTAGTGGGCAAACTATATTAAGTGGCTTAGCTTTTTTATTGTAGTTCCTTTGCAAATATGAAGGCCACAAAGGAATACCCGATAAAAAAAAAACAGAAAGAAACTCCGGGTAATCTGTCTCTGTTGTTTACGAATGAGTGTAATGCATAACTTCTTCACTAAAGAGCTCGGAACTAGTTACAAATTAAATTGAATTCGACGGCGGTGCGACATGACAGACGGACGGCGTACGAAAGTCCGGGATCAATGTATATTTACAAAATGTATATTTACAGAGAAATTTGAAATATTGGCAAATGTTTGCAATGTTTTTCACCTATGCTTCGTCAACAGATAACAAAGATAAATCTTAGAAACTAGAAATTTTGTTTTCCCATCCTTAACTACAGAGCCCGTGGACGAATTTGATAATCGGCGATCAATGGCATTTAACGATGCCAAACAAATCAGCAATTCTTGATAGAGTGTGTTCACACAGGTCAGTGTGTTTACGTTCACGTTCAGTGGCGTAAAGGCCCATCTGCCCTCTTCTTTTGATATTAAAACGCACATTTAATAAATTTTAAAATAAATTTGCTCCTAAAGACAAGTTATATTGATTGGTCGTCTTTGTTTAAATTCATGTAAGTTTCACAAGTGACGTTTGTATTATTTTCTACCATTGTGAATTATCACAGAATAAGTAAAACGAATTTATTATTTAAAAATATTAATAATTTTATCTTCCATCATATCTACGCACAACGGGCTTTTTTCTTTAATGGATTTTCATTAATGGGGCATCTGTATATCGTTAAAATTTCATAAATTCAGTACATTTTTGTGCATTTGAACAGATTCCAAACATGATACACTATTTTGGTTGGCATGTTGTATTACACGACCCATATAACTTTAACCACAGGGAAATTCGAGAAGAACCACATCAACCAAAGTGCAACTCTACTTTCAATATTAAAAGATTACAATTTACAAAAAGTTGCAGACACAGAAAATTCACCATCAGTTACCATTAAAGCAAAATAGGTTATCAGGAAAAATCAAACAATGTTTTTACAAAAGAATTCATAAACATTCAACTACTGGTTTCGTTTCTTTTTCTTTTTTTTAATTTTTATAATAGTGAAAACCGGCGAAACAAGAATGGAATTTTAGGTACAATATAGTTGTGTTCCAAAATTGTATAATGTGTTGCGTATTAATGTCGAAATATGCATTTATTTTGCAGCCTAATTTGATATAATTTTAAATTATTGTATTTTTTATTCAAAACAATACACACACATACACCAAATGTGTATATGTTTTGACAGAATAAGGACACAAAAAGAAAAATTTGCGGGGTGGCTTTGTTTTACCTTCTGTAATTATGCCATGATTGTACTTAAAGTGAATTATGTCACAGAAGTTGAATAAAAATATTATCCATTTCATTACAAATATATTTTTTATAATTTATTGCAGGAAATACTCAGTAAAAGTTTTGATTTGCGAAGATTTGTCATTCTATTTGGAAGATTTTTCCGCATGTAATGTGAAGATTTTCTGGGGCTTTGACTCTTCAAAACTGAATTAAAATAAAACGTCATTCGAGGACTACACAAGACCAAGAGTTCAAAATCTCTACTTTTATATGACCAGGCCCCAGCAAAGATAAGCAAAATTCGTCCTCAAAAATAGCAAACATACAACTTTTTTACGTGTCGAGAAACGCCTAAAATTATAAATAATTTATTATTTTTGTAAAATATGTGACTCGTCTTATGAAAATAAATTTCTATTTGAACAATCAAAAGGCTATAAAACCCTCCAAAAAATGGAACTAATTTGGTAATAATAAAAAAAATCCGAATGCAGAATATAAGGAGTTACCAGTATATTGGGGTCAATGCATGGTACAATCATGGTACAATGAATTCAAGGTAGGGCAGAACTACCATATGATTTCAATTTTTTTATTTTCTTGGCTTAATATGTCATCTTTATTTGTTTATGTATGTGTTTTCTTTTCAATACCTTTCATTCAGTTATCGCGGTTTTCAATTATTTATTCAAAATAAATGATTTTTTATTGTTTTGATACTAATTCTGACATTACAAGCCAAACAGGTAGACCTCTATACTTGCAATTTTTTCAAAGTTGGCCTACCTTCTCTTCATTGTACCATGGGTCAATGTGGTTGTGCATAGGCAACTTTTGTCATATCCATTATAGTATTCCAATTTCGAAACTTGGAACAATTCCGATGAATAACGTGGCAAAAAATTAAAAAAAACCGAATAAAGTGTCACAGGCCGCGATTCCGGTGAGTAATGTAGCTAAAATCATCAAAGTACCGATATAGGGTGGCTATGTGAAGACGTGGAACTGTACAGACAATTTTCTGTCACAGGAACTATTAGGAACTTATAAATACGAAATTAGAAACAATTCCGGTGAATAATGTCACAGAAATCAGCAAAATATCGAATATAGGGAGGTAGCGACATATGGGAGCTACACAAAAACCTGGACCTGCATATACAATTCTCTGTCATAGGCTGTAGTAACCATTATGATAATGTCGCTGAAATCAGCAAAATACCGAATATGGAGAGGTACAGTTATACCAAAAGTCCTGTCATTTCCACAGGCGGACGGACGGATTTCCACAGACGGACGGACATCGCTAAGTCGGCATAGAATTGTATGCTGATCAAGAATATATACCTTGTGAGGTCTAACTGTATTCTTCGATGCTTCTAACTGTCATGGTACAATGATATCAAGGTAGGTCAACTTTGAAAAAAATGCAAGTATAGAGGTCTACCTGTTTGGCTTGTAATGTCAGAAATAGTATCAAAACAATAACAAAATCAAACAACTTGTTGCATTTATTTTGAATAAATAATTGAAAACCGCGAAAACTGAATGAAAGGTCAACACTTCTTTTCAAAACCAGGTTCTATATATCTCTAAAGGATTATTTCGCTACAAAAACTCTAGATTTTGTCGATGCATACGATGAAATAAACATTTTGAAAACACCCGAATTTGAATATTTTCTGAACAATTTTTTGTTATTGACAAGAAAACACATACAAAAACAAATAAAGATGACATATTAAGCCAAGAAAATAAAAAAATTGAAATCATATGGTATCATAGCCCTACCTTGATATCATTGTACCATGCTAACTGTATTCTTCTACCATGGACATGTTTGTAAATGTTCTATAGCCTAGAAATCTGACAAAAGTCACAGATAACTGGATTAAATTCAGAAGTTCACTTCACAGAATAATTCCATTGAACTTTTCTTTCCCCGGAATGCGGCAAACCAAGAGATTTTTTTAAATTAATTTAAATTTAAGTTCTATTAATTTAATTTTAGATTTATAAATTAAAATGACATTGAAATAAATATGAATAACAAAGGTGAGAAAACTTGTGATTTGTGTAAACAAACATCCAGTACCGATGAGGAAGATGTTATCCTTTTTGGAGAATGGATGACAAGAAGTAATATAACTGTTCACTATTATTGTTTGGTACGTAGTCTGCAACTATTTTATAATAATAGTATGTAAATTAACTATATATATCATTTCTCCTCCTCCAGCTCCTTTCGACAAACTTGCCACAGAATGGTGAAGATCACGGAGGAATATTGGGATTTCATTTGCGTGACATACGAAAGGAAATAAAATTGGCGACGAAACGGCATTGCATGTATTGCAACGCAAATTATGCTACAATAATGTGTCATGGTTGCAAAAAATATTTCCACCTAATTTGTGGTCACACCAATAAGTGTCTGTCGGAGTTTATTGGCGAGTTCAAATCATATTGTAGGAACTGTGTTCCTCTCAGCGATGAACAAAAGGCCCTAATGAAATCTAATCCCCAACCAAACAAAGCTGCGTGCTATATATGTAGACAATATATGGGAATATACAGTCCGACTAATTGGATTAGTGCGAAATGCTGTAAAAATGGGTATGTTCATAGTTTATGTCTAAAGAAGTATGCTTTGAAGGCTGGCTACTATTTGAAGTGTATATGGTGTAAAAATAAAGAGTTTCGAGAAGATATCAAATATATGGGTATATTTGTGCCTGATCGTGATGCAGATTGGGAACGTGAAAAAGATGCATACAGAGATTTGCATCGATCCACAAAGCGTTGCGACATGACACCATGCAATTGTCCGAAAGGGCGGGTATATACATCACGTAAGATCACATTTCAATAATAAGTGGACAATTTGGAATAACATTGGTTTTACATATTCCAGCCAAATGGTCAATCATAAGATGTACCTTGTGTGGTCTTGTTGGGGCCCACAATCCATTTTGTATTCCCGACACAGACATTCCAGTACGAGAATTTAAATGTGATACATGTTCGGTAACGGAACGTACCATAGTTAGAACATTATCAGAAACTCATCATTTTGAAGAGATATCTGATTTAGATATATCCTTGAGGGTAAATAAAGGACCAACTATTGAAAATTTAGATGAGCAGTGCAGTAGTGTTAGTACCGAAATATCCAATGATTCGATAGCAACAGCTGTAAATCCATCATTGGAAGGTTTAATTCCACATTTAACACAAAATTCCGAGGATTTGCAAACGTCGAAAGGGGATGAAAAAATAGGATCAATTGATTTGGCAGCAAAAATGTGTGAAGTCACTCCTAGTAGTAGCAGCCATTATGAAAAGAACTCCACATTACATAAAAGTATGAATCGAATAGATGGCAATGCAAATGATCATAATATGCAACCCGCTACGGAAGTTATAAATATGGAAATACACAGGAATTTACAACAAATTCAAAATGAAAGCAATATTCGAGATCATGACATGCGATTGACTGTTGAAGACAAAAGCACTGCAAATAACAGCGATGATGAAAATGCAGAGAGTGATGAAGATCCACCTGATTATGCCATTGATATGGCCGTTGATCATTTCCTATCTGTCTTTGGATTCAAGTGAAGTATGTTTACTTTTTGTTTATTTCATTTTATTTATTTCCCTATTTAATGAGACTAACCTTTTTAAGCTAATATATCATCTAATATATATCATCTTCAGACAAGAACTTGGGATGTGTAAAATTTCAAGAGAATCGGATGCTTATTTCATATCTTATGAGCGTTTTGTTATTCAAAGTTTTGACCCCTTTATGGGAAAAGGACAATATAAGTATAAATTGAAAGCTAATGAAAATACCTACCCACCAAGTGTTCACATGACCACCACTTTAAAAAAGGATCAAATTTAGAAAAATTTAGTTCGCGTAACCATTATTAGACATACCCAGAGGAGTAAATCTCAAGCTCTACCTAAAACAGCATAAAATTTAGAAAAACTGAACAAAATATTGTAGCTTTTTGGAAAGGTTATAGTGTCATCTATTATTTGGCATAAACGGGGCCTTTATCGACATTTGGAAGATTTTTTAAAAAAAATCCGGTTCAAAAAATTAATCAACCACAATTGACCGCTTGTTTGTTAGGTATTTTCATTAGCTTTCAAATGATACTAAACTATACCATCCATCATCTTGGTCCCGGACTTTTGAGTCAAATATCCGGGTCCGTACCCCAAGAAGAAATTACTTTCCCGGAATCAGGGTGCAAATACCTACCTCTGGAAAGAAATTTAAAAAAGGAGGTGTACACTAACTTTGTCATTCCGTTTGTAACATCCCTAAATATTCGTCGTAGACCCCATATAGTATACAAGGTGAGATGAAAAAAACTGCAACCAACTTCAGACTGCAGTCATTTCCAAGCCACTCGTCCGACAGCTGTTAAAATTATTCCAGTGACAGCTCATTGTATAGGTTATAAGCGTACAAAAGCATTTTGGTGAGAATTTTCCAGAAAAAAAGTTATTCGTTTCTGGAGGGTGTATTAAAGCCTTGGGTGCGCAAACATTTTGGCCGCAGACGTTGGACATTCCAACAGGACTCAGTACCATCGCACTCAGCACGTGTCACCCAAGAATGGTTACAAAATGAAGTTCCTTGCTTCATTTCCAGCGCACAACGACCACTAAAATCTCCGGATACCAATCCGTTGGACTATTGTGTCTGGAGTATTTTGGAAAGCTAGGTTGGCACTAAAAATACCAAAGTGTCCATCACCATAAGCAAGCGCTTCGCCGGGAATGGGCTAAAATACCACAGAGCAGCATTCGGGCAGCGTGTGACGGTTTCATTTACCCGGTTGAAGGCAATAATTCGTGCTGCCAAAGGTGACCAATTCGAACAAATCCAAATTTATTCTAAAAGTTGATGCTATTTCCGAAATTTTTTGCTTTCATTCATTAAATTTTTAGAAAATGTAAAAATTATGGCGTTTGACTTTGTTGCAGTTTTTTTTATCTCATAATCAGCACCAAATTCTACCTTCCGATATTCGGTATTTTTATAATTTTTGCACATTTTTTTACGAATTTGTCGTGTGGTTCAAGTTCCGATGGCGGAACATAGTTTATATAGGTCCACTTTCTCGTATAGCCCCCATATAATGGTACCTCTCGATATAAAATATTTTGATGATTTTAGCCACATTTTACTAGATCTAAGCCCTTGCAATAATGGCTTTTATGGCGAAATTTTCTCGTGCTCTTAATGACAACAAAAATAAAAGTCAATTATCATGTTTCTTATGAATCATTTCTTTGATTTAACTTGATCGTTGCGCTATCAATCGTTGGGTTTATTTCGAACTTATAATTTTCCTCACAAATTTCTACGTTTATCGTGCGGGGCTAATAGTTATTTTAATGTTTTAATATCTAGAGATATAATCTAATTTGGTCAAAACAATATTTCTGAAGGTAAATATTATATTCGAAGAGTGAGTACATGATGTTAGGTAGGTATAACAAATTCGATGACCACCGGCATGCATACAAATATGAAAACTTAAAGCTTTTAACTATTTCCGTTTAAAGCTAAAACAGCTAAAACTCAAACGTTTAGTGCATAGTTTGGTGTTGACTGAGTGAGAAGATAAATTAATAATTTGGTGAAAAAGTAAACACAAGTTGTTATCCTTATCAATCGCGTTAAAAGATAAGATGACAAAAAAAACTACAGAGAGGGAAAGTAAAAAAAAAAGAAAACATGTGAAAAGTTGTTAGACATCTAAACGGAGGCAAGGTATTGAAAATACATTTGAATAAAACAACGAATATTACAGTAGAATATTCAAGTGGCTTTGGGGTGAGGCCACAGCTGATAAATAAAAAATAAAAGCATATATTATTTTTCTGTATCAAAACAAAAGTGGAAAAAAAGACATTTAAATGTTTATCAAGCTTTAAAAATAAACAAATATACATGTGTAGTGTATAAATTGAATGCTAATTAACAAAGTGCATGAGAGAGGGGCTATTGTTATACATTGCAATGTCCAATATTTATATATATATTGTTTTCTTTAAATGTGGTATTTCTGCATAATAGGTGCACCAATTTTTTGGCCTTTTTTGCCTTCAACTTGTCTCAATCTAAACAAGTTCAAAACCATTAATTGAAGATTGTTATCAAATGACAAGCTAATAATAAGTCTGTTTGCTCGGTGTTACTTTATCTTGGATGTTTTCCCCCACTTTTAATATTCTGACACTCTTGTGGCAATAATAAACGCTATGTACCTGCACCTCCCACAGATGTCTCATTACCCGGCTTTTTAAGATATACTTAGCTGCTGGTGTGGTTGCCTTAAAAACAAACAAAAATAAAATTGTTAGCTACTACAAAAACAACAAAGAAAGCGCAACGCAAAATCAAAACAAGTTCTAGTGAGGGAGGGGTGACAAAACAACAGCAAGGCTGTTCATGCAAAGCTTTTGTTTGGGCAAATCGGTCAACGTCTTGAAATGGAATTCATTACAAAGTTTGTTTTGCCAGCGAGCAGACGTGTTTTCGTCCAGATCACAACAAGTATGAACGTTAATTGTAAACATTTAATTTATTTACTCATTTTTTTTCTTCGCTTTGGAGTGAATTGGCAAAAACTTGAAAACTTTCTCAATTCTCTCTCGCATCCAACAAAGAAAAATGTACAACTCCAAGTTGCTGATTGTAATAACAATTTTCCATATTACAGAAAGACTTGATTCCACCAAAATGTCGGCAGCCACCTGTGTTGATCGCAGCGTACATTCAGCCAATATTGAGGAAATTCATAATGTGCCAATGCGAGTTATACATCGACCCATCCCACCAGTATTAGATGATGATAAAGTGAAATCTTTGATGGAAACCTTAGAGGTATTTTCCGTTTAGTATTCGATTTTCATATTGTTATTAATTTATTTTCATTTTTTTCAGAATGATCAGCAATCTGTTAATGTGCCACCCATTGATGTTCTCTGGATAAAAGGTTCCAAGGGAGGTGATTATTTCTACAGCTTCGGAGGTTGTCACCGCTTTGAGGCCCACAAACGATTGAATCGTGACACAATTAAAGCAAAACTCGTCCATTCAACACTAGCCGATTTGTATACTTATATGGGTTCCAGCACACCCAAAAATTTAGAATAAGCTCAACTTTATAGAGATTTTTTTTTTTAATTTTTTTATGTGAGATTTTATGTTTTATTCCGTTTTATTGTATAAAAAATATTAAAATTAATATTGGTTCCTCCACAAAAATTCCACAGGTATTAATAAAGAAGACATTTTATATATAAATTTACAAGTCCTCTATTTAAGGACAAAATACACAATTCTTATATAAGTTGGGTTTCTAGAAGACATATAGGTTTTACAATTGTTTAAAATATTTCAATAAATACTTCTTTACCCACGCCCAGAAGACTTCTTTCACCCAATGTAAAAGATTCCACAACATCTTGGGAATTAAAATTTTGCTGCGTAACATATTCCCTTCATGAATGTTAACCGGTTTTCAGGAGGACTTTATTGCAAATATATATTGTTATTAAATTTGCAATTTTATTGCGCTATTGTATAAATATTAGATTTCGATTTTATTTTTGAAGAAATTTGTTATTACGTTGTAAATAAGAACCCATATATAATATATTAAGTTTGGATTATACAGAAATGAAACATATATTTATTCAACTGAGTTGATTACTGGATTTCATTTTGAGCGTTACGAAATTGCTACATGTAGCGTCCATATAAACGAGAGACCCTAACCTCACATTCATGCCAACGAACCAAAGTTAAATATCTTTAAAGGTCTGACTTAATATTGATTGGAAGAATGGCCTTTTTTATACCCTACACCACATAGTCGTAAGGGTATTATGTCTTTGTGCATTTGTTTGTAACATGGAGAAGGAACTGAGATAGACCATTAGTTACTTTTGAGGATCTTCATAGAATCACTTTCTGAGTCGATTTATGCATGTAAGTCCGGTTGTCCGTCCGCCTGTCCATGTATTCTTGTGAACAAAAGGCATATCGCATTTATTATCCGATTGAGATAACATTTTCCAAACATTATTTGTTTGGCCCAAGGACGAGCTCTATTGAAATTGGTGATAATCGGATCAGATTTAGATATAGCTCTCATTTATCTTCAACCGAATGGCCAATATAAATCCTAATGAACTGAATTTCAGCACATCCGACAGAATTCAGTCTAGAAGCAACATCTAATTTGGAGAAAATCGGTTCAGATATACATCTCCCATATATACAGGGTGAGATAAAAAACTGCAACCAAATTTAGACTGCTTTCATTTCGAAGCCACTCGTCCGATAGCTTTTAAAATAATTCCAGTGACAACTCATTATATTGTTTACAAGCGTACAAAAGCATTTTGATGAGAATTGTCCAGAAAAAAGTTATTCGTAATGGAATTCAAGCGTGGTAGTGGGATTTATATATATTTGCCTGGAAAACCGCAAGTGGCTATCGTTAGAGCACTCTAGGATTTAAATGTGAATAAATCTTTTGTGTCTCGTACCATCGCTCGTTACCGTGATACTGGTAGCGTAGCCCGACGTCAAGGAAGTGGACGGAAGAAAACAGCAACATCAGCAGAAATGGTTCGGAAAGTAAAGAAGCGACTTGAACGAAAATGGCTCGTGAGCTGAACATGTCGCAATATTTGATTCGGTAAATTTTAAAAAAATCAGCTCAGAGCAAAGCCATTAAAATTCCAAAAAGCGCAAGAACCGCAACCGCACCAGTTCAGCAGTTTGTAAACAAACAAAATGCTCGTGTTTACTTGACAAAGAGGTCAGCTAAAATTGTGCACCAGAACTCAATTGATTTACTTGACAAAGAGATCAGCTGAAAATGTGCCCCAGAACTCAAGCACCGACCATGGTGATGTTGTGGGCCGCCATAACAGACGTTGGTCGCTCTCCGCTCGTATTAATCGACCGTGGCATCAGAATAAATGCCCAATATTATCGCGAAAATAGCCTTGGGCAAGCAAACATTTTGGTCGCAGACCTTTGACATTCCAACAGGACTCAGCACCATCGCACTCAGCACGCGCCACCCAAGAATGGTTACAAAATGAGGTTCCTCACTTCATTTCAAGCGCACAATGGCCACCAAATCTCCGGATACTAATCTAGTGGTCTATTGTGTCTGGAATATTTTGGAAAGCAAGAAAGATCACTTTAAGAAAGCGCTTCACCAGGAAATGGGCCAAAATACCGCAGAGCAACATTCGGGCAGTTATGACGGTTTCATTGGCCGTTTGAAGGTCATAATTCATGCCAAAGGTGAACAATTCGAACATATCTAAACTTATTTTAAAATTTGATGCTATTTCCGATATTTTCAATCAATAAAATTTTAAAAAATATGTGAAATTATGGCGTTTGACTTTGTTGCAGTTTTCTTATCTCACCCTGTATGTTTCATCCGATTTGGTGTGAACGAAATTTGGTACGGTACATCAGATACTGCTCGAAAATACCTCTGCCAAATTGTATCAAGCTCGGTTCAAATTTGGATGTAGCGTCCATATATATCTTCAACCGATTTCGGGTTAATTGTGCACCAAATGACCAATAACATTCCAAATGGCCTGAATCTTTGCACATTCGATAGAATTCAGTCTAGAAGAAAGCACAGCAAAGTTTGAGAAAATCGCTTCTGATATAGCTATATCTCCCTTATATATGTTTCATCCGATTTGGTGTTTAAGTCCCTCATATTCGTAACATGCATTCGACAACAATGATATTTGGTACAAGATATCTTATAGAGCTCAGAAATACCTTTGCCAAATTTTATCGAGATCGGTTAAGATTTGGATATAGCTCCCATATATATGCTTAAATCGATTTCTGGCTTATTGTGCAAAAAATGACTAATATCAGCCCAAATGGAGTGAGTTTCGGGACGTACGTTTCCATTTGTGGAACTCGTCTCCGATATATATTTTTTTTAATATAATCCTTCTCGAAGAGATATCATCAAATCTATAGTGGAAATTAATTTCGAATTGAATATGCTTCCCATATATTAGTTCCCTCTGAAACCAAACTAAAACTGCTCTAAAGCCAAATGTTTATAGGTGGTGTGATCTACTTCAAATAAATTCTTTTGTTACGAGAGCTTTGCTAAATATGCATATTGGTGTAGGGTATCATATAGTCGCCCTCGCCCGACTTTTGACTTTTCTTTACTGGTTTCTTGTTTATTCCTAAAAATCTTAATGCTAAGCTTTTAAATAATATAATAAATTTACAATTTTAAAAATAACGGCAGTACAATTCCATATTCACCACATAAATATACTTTTCTCACGTAATATACGTAGTCCACATTTTTGCCATTCATCAGCGAATAACCATAGTTCCGGCGCACTTTCTAAACATGACATAATGGCAGCACCTTTCCATGCAATCATTGATGCCTCCATTTCCTTGACACATACATTTACCTCGTAGGCATATTGTTCAGCCGAACGTACGTGTAGAATAATTTTTTGTTCCAACCACTTGGAGAAGCCGCTTAATTTACTACCACCACCCACCAATAAAATACTGCCATACATTTTACGTTTCATATCCTCGGTCATGCAACGTTCAATACTGCGTACAACAGCCACGTCAATGGGTACAATTTGACCGCTACCAGGTGCAAAGTACATCTGTTCTTCCTTATCCGTGTTACGTACATTCGCCGAACGATCGTCAACATCAAAATTGTCAACCACAACGAGTTCTTCGTCTGGTGTATCTCCAGTTATGGGCATAGCTCCGTCAAGCAATTGATCTCCTCTGCCATTACGTACTCGTCCCGTTTCCCGAATATATTCTGCATCGAAGCAATCTTCTGGATCAGATTGTTGGCTGCTGCGCATTTGTAATTGTACCGTCTTCTTTTTCCCAGTTATATTAAATAATTCAGTATGAAAGAATGCCAGAGGGGCGACAACACATTCATCGCCCAACTGGAAGGTGTAACGTAGTCGCTTGTTTTCCTTTTTCACCTCAAAGATTTTCTCTTGGGCTCCACATACCTCCAGGTTTAAATGACAATAGAGCTCTTTTAGATTATTGATAAGAGCAGCGTCAGCGTAACTTTCCTCAACATTGCATTCCTTGTAGGGAAAACTACATTTTCTCAATAATGCAAGGAAAACTTGCGCTAAATCTCCGCTACCATAGCCTAAGCGTACTCGGGTGTCGGGATGTGATATACCATCTTCAACACATGATATTGAACATTTTTGATCGCCCACATCAACGACACATGCATAACCTAAACCAGCTCCAAATGTGGCGGCAACATGGTCCTGGACTAGAAAACAAGCACGGAATCCCAGACGTTGTAGCAGTATTGTCACTAATTCTCGCAATACGCTTCGATTGTAGACGTCACTAATTACCAAAACAGCTCCGTATTGTCCCAAAGTACGCCGGGGTATTCCCATGCGTTCCTCAATCACATGGCACCATATAGACTCCAAATCAGACATTACAGAGGTCACAGAACCACCAATGTTGCTATGTAAATTAAGATCTCCTCTCTTCATTGGAAAGTGTATGTTATATTCGTTTCTTTCATCTTTATTCAGTCTAAGAATATCATCATCAAAAATGTTTACTTTTATTTTCTTTGATTCCACTTTATCATCTTCTTTTACTTCTGTTATCTCACTTTTAATTGAAGTATCTAATGGAAGTTCTTCAGGAACAGATCTTCGATTGAATGTTGCAATTTGCTGTGGCGGCGTGGCTATTCGAAGTCGCTTTGCACCTCCTCCACGTTCTTCATATTGTGTGACATGCGATTGTAATGAATGAGAAACTAGAAGTCGGCTTTCCTCAAACTCTTGCATTATGTCAATATCCTTTTCTTTGGCCAGGTTTGGTAACATGGTATCATGATATCCCAGGCTCGTGTCTTGTTTGCTGTCTGTCGTCTTACGAAGCCTTCCGATTGCGTGCAGTATAGTTATGGGATTTAGGTCACTAGCACGACCAATGCGCAAATGAAGCGATCCTGGATGGATTACTATTATTTTCTGGGCATGCATTGTGAGGTTTCAAGTCAATTATATATTTATATTGGGAACCTTTGGGTTCTATGTTTCCTAAAACCGGGAGAAAAACCTGTTCGGTTTGTTTATATCAGCTTCTTATACAATGTAAACAATAGTCAAAGTGAAATGATATCTAACTTTGTTATGAAGGCAAAGTTAAAAGCGTTCCAGTGTAAATGTGGATTGATTCATGGTAGAAGAATATAGGTAGACGCATCGACACAGCTGCTGGGACAATGAACTGTCAAACCAATTTTGGAATTGAAAATGTTGAATGAAAAATTATATAAATTTGTAAAAATTGTTGGAAAGCACGAATTATAATAACCTCCGAATGACGTCGTATTAGAAAACTTATTAAAATCTACTTATATTTAAAAAAATATTTAAATTTTTTTTTGACATATCAATGCTCCTAAGCGTTGATGCATCTACCTGTATTCTTCTGCCATGGATTGATTCATGGAACAATAACACGAGGTAGAATAAACAAAGTTTATATGTATGTTTAATGATAAAAAAAATTAAAAATTATATCAGTCATATCGTTTATTTTTCGCGCTATTCAACTCCTTTTAGAAATGGGAAAAATTATCAAATTAATGAAAAAAATTCGTAGACATAATTTTGAATTATTCTGACAGGATGCGGATATAGTCTCAGGTCTGTATTTTTGTAGCTTTACGGAGCTGCTCTATCTCCTGATTGTTCCATGATTACAAGATAGGTCAGCTTAATTCAAAAACACAACTCTGAAGCTAGCGTCTTTCAACTAGAAATCATAAAAGATTAGAAAGATAGTGTCACTTGAAGAATTCAGAAGCAAATCTGTTTCAATCATGTCAAATGAAACTATTTGTATCTATTATTTGACTTTGTTTAAAAATATTTTTTTTTTTAATTCTAGTTAAAATCTCTTGTAAATTGCATAAAGCAGACAAGTAAAATGTCCTCCAATTTTCTTCAAATTTTGGCACAAGTTCATTTTTGAACCAACATTACGTCTTATATCGGCCTAATACTTCCGGTAGCTCTCCACAAAGGTACTAAATTTGAATACTCAAACGCTGTGCTTCAAACTTCGCTTATCTAAATATTTCAACCAACACTACATCTGGTGTAAATATGATATATATCGTCCGACGCTTTTTGGCACCTATCACAAATATTCATAATACTTATAAAATGCGAACCGATTGACCGATTTTCGTCTAACTTTGCATATCCATGTATATATAAACCAACATAACATCTGATGTGACCACATTTCCTTTCATGGTAAAATAATACAGCTAGATGCATCAATGCTAGGGAACATTAATGTGTCAGAAATTTTTTGACATTTTAATTTGAGAGAAAATCTCGAAAAATGAATTGAACTCCTCGGAATTTTTACAATTTGGACTTCAAAATATGATTAAAAAAATATTTTTAAAATTTTTGATTAAAAACACTCACTGTACTTCAAAATATGGTTACAATTTTCATTACTCCAAACCACCACAATTTACTCCCCCGATATTTTGTTTTAAAAACAACTTATTTTGAAATATGCAACCGCCTACTTCGCTTATGCGACCACATAATACAGCTGTCTTTGAAATGTCACTATTTTTTTTGATACATCTAAATGTCGACTTGTATAGCCCTATGTTGTCAGTCGAGTTTATTGTTTATTTGTGTCAGACTCATGAGAGTGACTTCATTTATGGTAGCGCAATATTTAGTGAATTAATAAAAAAACAACAAAAACAATAACCATAGTGAACGTGAAACGACAAGTGCGAAGCAAGTGTCAACAACAACAAACAAGCAGCTACCATATTTGACCATATTTTCGATAAGTAAACTACGAAATCGCTGTAATTTAATTGGATAAAACTATTGTTGAGAGAACACACAGTTACAATCTTGAACTTTCCAGGCAATGAGTTCAAGTAATAAAGATAGTGCAGCTTCTGTTGCTGCCCATATGAATGGAGAAGGCAGCAGCACCACTACGGGTACAAACATATTGTCCACCCAGCTAGCAACATATCGAGTGTTTGTGGTCACTTGGAATGTTGGTTCCCGTTTTCCAGACAACATTTCATTGCGCAACTTGTTGGGTATTAGCAATCTGGTCGAAGATCATCATTTACCCGATATATATGCTATTGGATTGCAAGAGGTCAATGTTCAACCTCAACAACAAGTATTGGGTTTGTTCAAGGAAGACCCTTGGACGGACAAGGTCAAGCACTTGTTGAAGGATTTCAATTATGTGCTCATTAAAACCGAGCAAATGCAAGGATTATTGGTTAGCTTATTTGTGAGACGGCAGCATGTACCACATTTACGTGATATTGAACCAGAATTTACACGGACTGGATTCGGTGGCATTTGGGGCAATAAGGGTGCCGTTTCGGTGCGTTTCAATCTTTATGGCTGTGCCTTGTGTTTTGTGGTATGCCATTTGGCTGCCCATGACCATCATTTGGACGAGAGGATTGAGGATTTCAAACAAATAATGGATAATCACCACTATCATGTGCCACGCTATAGGGAAATCTATGACCACGATTACGTTTTTCTTTTTGGTGATTTAAATTTCCGCCTTATGGGTGATGATTCAGCCCAGGAAATTCGTGATAAAGTTATCAAAGACGAGGCTCTAGAGGAATTAATGAGTCGTGATCAGCTTTCATATGTTCGGCAACAGACACAAGAGGCATTCCAATTACTGCAAGAACGTAAACCTGCCTTTCCACCCACCTTTAAGTTTCACGAAGGTACTTCGGACTATAATCTGAAGAGAAGACCAGCATGGACAGATCGTATTTTGTATTCGGTTCAACCGAACAATAAACAACCCAATAATAATTTGGAAATAGAACAGTGTGCCTACAAATCCATTCCTGGCTATTGCATCAGTGATCACAAGCCGGTGACTAGTGAATTTACCATTAAACTATATCCCAATTATCGTGCGCCATGTGTTGAATTCAAGGACATCACTGCTTGGAAAATTGACGAGGAAAACACTGTGGAGTACAAGAAACCTTTGGATTTACAAGAACGCGATTTCGATTGGATAGGCATTTATCCGGTCAACTATGCTAGTCTTAAGGAATATGTTTCATATGAATATGTCAATAAGACAGAGTCTCCTCCATCCACTCCAGAGGCTAATGATCCATTTTGGGATAGCAATACAGGAGGACGCAGACATCGCAGGCATGGCCATCGCCATCACAATCCAAATCGTGAGCGTGTACGACGTCAACAACAAGCCAATGAGGAATTAGTTCGTCTTGAATTTGATGATGATGCCGATCTTAAGGATGGCGAAGAATATGTGCTAATCTATTTCCATAACACCGGATTACGGGGTGTATCAAGTGTGGCTGGCATAAGTAATGTTTTCAAGGCCGAAAAGCGACCCTCAACACCGAGACTTTCCAACGTAGACTAACAGAGGTTTTCATTTGGCTATGCCAGTGATATATTATTGATATGAAATCCGTACCACCAAACAACCCCCGAACCAATAAAACCTTAAATGAAACCTCCTCGGTCCTACCTCGATTTACCCAAATTTATGGAAAAAGGCATTTCAAAAACAAAAAAATTACACCGAATTGTAAGTAGAATAATTCAAAATGTAAATTAACATCGTAAAACTAATTGTCCATTGTGATGTTGACGATTTTCCACACATCCATTATCACATGTAATTAGTGACACTGTGGAAAAAGTAACAAGCTTACATTGATATTGATGACATTGTGCTTATCTAATATAAATATAGATTGGCAAAGACAAATGTTGGGGGGCTCCAATGAACAGCGATAAAATTTATCAACATATATTTGTTATTTATTGGAAAGTTTTAGGCATTGATAGTAGTAGTTTTTATAAATGCGGAAATGCGTTGGATTTTTATACATTATATATTAAAATCTTCGCAAGAAAATCCCAAATTATCTCTTCTAGAAATGTAAATTTTTAAAATCATTAGTATATACATAAATATGCTATCAATGTAAATATTTCCGCATTATAAAGGGTGAGATACGCCATTATTTTTATTTTTTAATTGTATTGAATTAATGCAAAAAAATGTCGGAAATAGCATCAGATTTTAGAATAAGTTTAGATTGGTTCGAATTGGTCAACTTTGGCACGAAATATGGCCTTTAAACGGCCAATGAAACCGTCACACGCTGCCCAAATGTTGCTCTGCGGTATTTTGGCCCATTCTCAGCGAAGCGCTAGCTTGAGGTGATCGACGATTTGGTATTTTTTAGTGCCAACCTTGCTTTCCAAAATACTCCAGACACAATAGTCCAAAGGATTGGTATCCGAAGATTTTGGTGGCCATTGTGCGCTGGAAATGAAGCGTGCTTGAGTGCGATGGTGCTGAGTCCTGTTGGATTATCCAAGGTCTGCGGCCCAAGGTTTTAATACACCCTCAAGATTGTTTTCGAGATAATATTTGGCATTTATTCTGATGCCTCGTTCGATTAATACGAGCGGAGAGCGACCATCGGCTGTTATGGCGGCCCACACCATCACCATGACCGGCGCTTGAGCTTTGGTGGCCAACCGAAGGTGCACATTTTCAGCTGACCTTTTTGGCAAGTAAACACGATCATTTTGTTTGTTTACAAAATGTTGGACAACGAATGTTTCCTCATCGGAGAAAACCAAATTCGGCAGTTCACCACTTTCGGCCAAGCGAAGCAACTCTTTAGCTCTTTTGTGCCTATTTTCTTTCTGTTGCGGTGTAAGTTATTGCACTTTTTGGAATTTCAATGGCTTTACCTGAGCTCATTTTTCAATATTTGCCGAATGGAATATTGCGATATGTTCAGCTCACGAGACATTTTTCGGCCACTGCAACGCGGGTTTCTTTACTTTTCGAACGATTTCTGCTGATGTTGCTGTCTGTGACTATTTTTTTTTACCAATAATCGGTTAGGGACTTTAGCAAAACATGAATTTCGGCGCAGATTTCCTGACTGTCCAACGCCTACTTGTGAAACACTGCGACGTTTAGCCGCTCGCCTTGAAGAGACTTGCACAACAAAAGATGCTGTCAGACGTGGCAGACCCCGGAGTTTTCGTTCTGCAGATAATATAGCTGCTGTAGCCGAGAGTGTCATGGAACCGCCGTCGACATCGACAAGACGATGTGCCACGCAAATGGGTATCAGTCGATAGTCTTTACAGAGAATTTCGGTACAAGATTTGAAGATGTTTCCGTACAAAGTCCGGATGCATCAGCTGTTAGCTGCTGGCCGCCAATCGCGTCTAACATACGCTCAATCCATCCTTAATCACCACCAAGAAGCAGATGATTTTTCACCAAAAATAATCATGAGTGATGAGGCCACTTTTCATTTTAGCAAGTAATTTACATCCAGCAAGATCGTCGGATTTTACCACTCCAGACTTCTTTCGTATCGTCTCGTATTCTCGACTTGATGTAAAATAACTAAAAGCCCAAGTAAAAGTAATCCACAAGAAGAATCAAACCGATTCCGTTTTTTTAATTACAGACAAAACAATCGGAAGATTACTTTTGCGCTACCTTGTATACTATCGGTTGCAAGTTCGCACTTCAGATTTTCAATGAAGAGAAAAGATTCCAAACATTTGGTGAAAAAAACCTAAACATATGTAGATTTATTCACAACATTTCGGCCAATAATCTCATGTTTGTTTAACCTTATAATTTTATTTTGTTGTTGCAAAATAGTTTGGCTTAATCCTATTATTGTAGATTTTATAAAAACAATGTTTGTTTATTAGTGGAGAAAGATGGTAATGTATGCAAGGGGGTGAGGCATCTTATCAGAAAAGAAAAAATGACACAACAATGTTAGGAGGAAACACGAAATGTTCGAGGAAACATAAAATGGTTCTTTGCTCCATTAAATTTTCACCTTTTCTATTTATTTTTTATTTTATTATTATAAATATAAAGCATCCATTAGTTTTTACATTCTTACATATTTTCAAAACTAATCTCCATAAAATACTTTCTTTACATTTAATTACAAGTAAATAATATTTTCACTAACCCATTTTTTCTCTTTTCTTATAGCAAACACCGACCAATCACCATATTAACACGTTTACCACAGCACTTGTCGATTCGATGTTCCAGTTTTTTAAATCGTGTTACTTGTTTAATGTGGACCTGTGTATTAAAGCGTTACCACGTTACAACGTTACACAATGTACATAAATTATCATAAATATGGTGCAATATAAAATAGCTTCCAAACGAAAAAAAAAAAAAAACAAATTTTGAACAATTATCTTTTATTTTATGTTATTTGTTATTGTTTTATAAAATAGTTTTATACCTTGCTGTTTTTGTTTTGTTTTCTGTTATTTTGGTTTAATAATATTTTGTAAAGTTTTAAAGACATTTAAATAAAGACGATATATGGCAATAGAGAATAAAGTGAAAGAAAGCTAAATCTATTAAAAATAGCTACATAAAAAGTCACATCAACTCGAATGAAACAAAAGATGTATTACTGCTTGGTCCTTATGCTCTTAAATCTAAAGATGTACCCAAAAATAGTTTTTCTTAATTAAATGTTTTCTTATTTTATGAGTTTTTTTTAAATCCATTTCCAGACATATTTCCTTTAACGTCACCTATAGCTCTTATGTTACGCTCTAGCTAAAACTTTCAAATGTTTTCTGCTTGTTAAAATCAACAAGTTGTGACTAAGTTATTTGGGAAAAATACAAAATACAAATAAGTAAACAATTAACCATATTTATTGACGTAATGTTTTTATTAAGCCAGAGCTAAGAATAGTATTATGATGTGAAATTGCAAATAGTCAACTAATAATATGAAATCATTGAATTCAACGCTATGAGTAGTATTTAAGAGACGAAATCTAAACTATTATGGAATCTGACATAATTGAAAATGTGGCTTGAAACGCTTGAAAATTTAAGATTATTATTGATTTAAATTTTGTAATTATTATTTAATTGTGCATGCAGTTATTAATAAGTAACTAGGTTCCAAAGAGCTGAATGAATATGAAACTAAAACGTGCATAAAAAAGATACAAATAAAAAAAAACAGAGAAAAGAGAAGCAAAAAAAAAGGTATAGGCGAAGGGAATGCAAATCTGCTTCTAATAAAACTAAACTGATTGCTTTTAGTTGTACAGGGTGAGCTATAAAACTGCAACAAAGTTAAACGCCATAATTTTTACATTTTATTTACATTTTATTGAATGAAAGCAAAAAATGTTGGAAATAGCATCAGATTTGTTCGAATAGGCCACCTTTGGCACGAAATATGGCCTTCAAAGGCCCATTCCCGGCCCATTACCGGCGAAGCGCTTGCTTGAGGTGATCGACACTTTGGTATTTTTTAGTGCCAACCTTGCTTTCCAAAATACTCCAACGGAGTATCCAACGGATTGGTATCCGGAGATTTTGGTGGCCATTGTGCGCTGGAAATGAAGCGAGGTCATTTTGTAACCATTGTTGGGTGGCGCGTGCTGTGTTCGATGGTGCTGAGTCCTGTTAGAATGTTCAAGGTCAGCGACCAAAATGTTTACGTGCCCAATGCTTTAATACATCCTCCAGAATATTTTCGCGACAATATTCGTCATTTATTCTGATGCCATGGTCCATTAATACGAGCGGAGAGCGACCATCAGCTGTTATGGCGGCCCACACCATCACCATGGCCGCCGCTTGAGTGAAGTACTCTAACGATAGTCAATTGTGGTTTTCCAGCCAAATATAAAGAAATCACACTATCACGCTTGAACTCCATCACGAATAACTTTTTTTCTGGAAAATTCTCACCAAAATGCTTTTGTACGAATCTAAACATTGTAATGAGCTGTCACTGGAATAATTTTAACAGCTGTCTGACGAGTGGCTTAGAAATGACAGCAGTCTGAAGTTGGTTACAGTTTTTCCATCTTACCCTGTAAGTGTTTGATTTTCTTGTAATTTTGGCCATATAAATATTTTCATCTGTATTAGATGAAGCATGACAATGGAATACTTCGATCGATCTGGTACCTCACGCACATGTTAATATTTTCCAAAAATTATCACATATCTCATGTAAAGTGAAGGAAGTTACCAATATAGTCCAAACCTGGCATGTCGCAATATTTATATCACATTAATTAGGTCCGATACGAAAGGGACAACCAATTCCATAGAGGGTTATTAGTTTGAATAATCATAACAGAAGTCAAAATACTTTTAAACAATCGAACATTGGCTGATGGTATACATCTGTCGGCAAAACCGACCGATACTTGTTTACTTGTTCTTTGAGATTTGAACGTTCCTAAATTATTTGGTATTCCTAAATATCGAACAATCCATGCTGTCTTCGTATTGTGAACCAGATAGAAGAATCCGATTTCGATTCCAACAAAGAGGACTTCTCGTCAAGAATTAATTGTAGGATGCACAAACTCTCTGGAGATTTCAATCGACAGTCTATCACTTGTTTTCTTCTTTTCTCTTCTCTTCTCTTCTCTTCT